AATTAGGGTGGGTCAAATTATCATTTCAACTTCACATCGTACCCTTCACTCCAAATCAGAACATTTTGAACTCATTTGATTGCGATCCCTCAGTCTATTTTCCTCAAATAAGCATTCGTACTGAAACGTGCTGACGCATTGTTAGTTTTTTTTGACTGGTTACATCGTGATGTTTTCTTACCATGCAATTTTCCCACAGATAAACTAATTTAATTAAAACATTCAAATTCGCTAACTGTAGCCGTCTCAATCATCCGTAAGAAAATGCTTTGATATTGAATGAATCACTCTTTAGTAAGTATGAAATTAATGCTAATCAATAAGGCTGCCCATACAACTAATTGAAATCTGAAAAAAAGGTGCTAAACAGAACGAAAACGTTGGAGTGGAGCAAACAGTAACGGGGAAGCACCAACGTAATTCCGAGAAATAGAGGGTATACACAAACCTAGATACAAACGTATACACTCAGATTTTTTTTTATAGTTGTGCTCGATTGATATATAACGAACGTCTCTCTGGTCCTTGAAATGGAAATACAGTAATCTCTTTATATATGCGGTGGATGGAACCGGGTATAATATGTTATATTGACATTTTTACCTAGGGGATAAGTACTTAAGGGGGCTAGGTTTTTATAAGTTCTTTAATGTGAATGACCCTGATAAAGACTGCACATTGTAGTCGAAATACGCATCTGACACAAATTCAATGTTGTCTTCTTATTGCTAATGATGTTTCTGATTACATACTTATTCAATTTTTCATGTTTCTTTAACTAAATTGTTTGAGATTCACGCGTGTGTTTTTTACATCCATCGAGTATTATCAAAGTAACCCCAATTTAAAAAAAAACTCATGTTACAAAAAAAGTTCATATACAATAAATTCCGTTAAATATATTACTTACTAATTAACTTTAAAACAAGTACTGAGGATCCTATACTGGTTAAAAAAAAATATTTGAAAAACATTAACTGATGTATAAATATTTAGAATGTATTTTAAAAAACTATTAAAGTTACCCTTACCTAAGGAACACAATTAAAAAAAAAAACAACCAGGCATTTTTTACCGTTTTTGAGATTTTGTAAAACAACGTATCTCATGAACAAAAATAAGGTGATTATTTTCCATTTAATTTCACTTAGTAATTTGTATCCATGTTACATTATAGCAGTTTTATGCCACCATCATTCTAATTCATAACAATCATTTCAATCTATTACTGTATCATTAATTCACATTTTTATGATGACTTCTTGCTTACTTTCGTGAATTGGTCAACTTTGGATACTGTTTGTCCGTTGAATTTGTATTAACGGATCATTAAAATATAGGCACGGAAACACATTCCATAGGCCGTAACTGGAATATACCATAATAGGACCGTATAGCCATAACTGGTACTCTTAGCCTCTAGTATTTTTTTGCCTGTAAAAGAGTTTTTATTATTAGGATGGTTTTTATCAACATGCTGCACACATTAGCGAAAATTTTAGAACTTGTTGTTAAAGTTTGGAGTATTTAAATAGTTATAGTTTGTTGATACCAGAACAATCGGGATATCGGGAAGGTCATTCTTATGAAACCGCGTTGAATTTGGTATTTGCGAAGCGGTAAAATAACTTGGAGCCTAGAAACAATTTCTAGGCCCTTATTGATAAGATCAATCAAGCGCTTTGGAATTACGAGTACTGCATATAAATGGTTTGAAAGCTATTTGTCTGACAGAACTCAACGGACTGTGTTTAATAATTCTGCTTCCAGTCCCGTGGGGAATAACCTTGGAGGGCCCCAGGGATGTATTAGGGCCCCTGTTATTTATTATGTGTATTAATGCCTTGCGACGTGCTTAACGATTGTGCGACATTAATCTTTTTGCAGATGATACAGTGTTATTTATTTATTTATTTATTTATTTATTTATTTATTTATTTATTTATTAGTCGTCAATCAGTGTAGACCGTTTTACAGTTTTACTTAAACGCTAATTGTTACAATTTTACTTCAATTACTTGCATAGCATTTATATTTTATTATTGATGCCTAGCTAACCTCGTGAAGAAAGTTTTTTTAAGCGTACTTTTATTCATTGTTATGTCAATATATTCACAGTATGTATTACAGCAAGACATCATTCTATTCAATGGGCTGTTTTTGGCATAGTCTGTTCTTTGATTGTTGATGCTAAACAAATTTCTATTCCGCAGTGAGCGAGTGGGAGCATAAAAATTGATATTTTCCAAAATCTCTGGACTGTTAACTCTTTGCGAAATCACATCGTTTATAAAAGCAATCATTGCGAACTCTCTTCGCTTTTTGAGCTCATCTAAATTAATTAGCATACAACGCGATTCATAAGATGGAAGTGGAAAACTCGTCCAACCCAACTTTCTTAGAGCGAACAACAAGAACTGCTTTTGAACTGATTCAATGCGGTTTACATGTGTATCATGATATGGAGCCCAAACTATGCTACAATATTCGAGAAGAGGCCTCACATATGCTACGTAAAGTGTTTTGATTGTGTAGGGATCATTGAAGTGCAAACTAAATCTTTTAATGAACCCGAGCATGTTGCTTGCTTTGTAGATAATGTTATTGTAGTGATCAGCAAAAGTTAACTTGGAGTTGAGGATAACACCTAAGTCTCTGACTTGATAGGATCTTTGGATTGTTTTCTGGCCAAGAGTAATTGTGTCGTGTATTACAGCTTGCTTTCTTGTGAACGATATAGAATTGCATTTATTAATATTTAGTTCTAACAAATTTTTCTTACACCATGTGTAAAAGACGTCAATTTCTTGTTGAAATATTTGAAGATCAGGTGCTTTAGATATCTCCATGAAAAGTTTCATGTCATCAGCATATATAGAAACATGAAGAAATTTAAAAATATGTTCTATATCGTTGACAAATAAAATGAACAGTAATGGACCAAGATGTGAACCTTGTGGCACACCAGATGTTACATTAACTATGGTGGACAGATTTCCTTCAAATCTTACCTTTTGCGTCCGCCTTGATAAGTACGACTCGATTCATTTCAGTAGCCTAGGACTGAAGCCTAATTTGGATAGCTTAAAAAGCAAGAGTGGTATATCAACTCTGTCAAATGCTTTACTGAAATCAGTATATAGCGTTTCTACATAATTTCCTTTATCCATTGAGTTTAAACAGTATGACACAAAATGTATCAAGTTGGTAGTTGTAGATCGTCCTTTAACAAATCCGTGCTGTTTGCTAGTAATTACCGACCTAATCTGTAAGAATACATTGTCATTAATGATGGATTCGAATAATTTAGAAATGCTTGATAATATAGCAACTCCACGGTAATTTTTTACATCAGACTTTTTACCACTTTTAAAAATTGGAATTAAAAATGATTCCTTCCAAATCGGAGGAAGTACACTCATTGCAGCTTAGGATTTAATTGATGCCGTTTTACACTTGAATGAAGATTTGCGTTCTCTAAGATGATTGTAGTGTAAGCAGTTTAAATTGAACACAAGTAAAACTAAATTTATGGTAATTTCGCGGAATCGAGTAAATGAGAACGTCTCTGTTGTAATTGATGATGAGACTATTGATCGCGTTCGCGAGATTGAATATCTTGGCGTGATTATTGATGACACACTTAAGTTCAACTCTCAATTTCAAAACGATTTAAATGTTGCCAGTAAAATACAGCTATACAAATCAATCATCACTCCTCATCTAGACTTTTGCCCTTCCATTTTATTTTTGGCCAATCAGGCCAATGCAACACAAATATCGAGATTACAGCGCTTGCAGAATAAAATAAGTGTGTAAGTAGGCTTCACAAAATTCATTATATTATAAAGGAATAAATGTTTTCAATTCGATGCCTAGACATATAAAACGTTCAGCAACACTTACAGAATTAAAATAAAAAAAACTGCAATTCACACGTTAAAACTCTCTTTTGAACAGTTATCAAGTGATTTTTTTTATGAATTGATAAATTATGTACCTTGACGAAGTTATCTCTAACGGATTATTTTGTATGGATAGCTGTCATAACGACTATTTAATAATTATTGTAGTACTGCACAAACTGTTCTGTTCGCCACGAGGGTGATGCTGGATTTTTAATATTTGATTTAATATTAGTAGATTTAATAAAAAAGGTAGTCTACAAAGGTTTGAACTTCGCGCGCGTATTACGGATATAGAGGACTGAATTTAAAATTTGAAAAAAAAAATGCAATTTGAAGCTTATTTGGAAGATACCTTGAGTTAGTAGTAAGTTTTCTGGCAAATGTTGGGGTTCGTGAGCATTCCTGACATTGCTGAAAATTATGATAGCATCAGATTGCGGGGTTGCTAGTGTAATAGGATGCTTTGTTGATTGTTCATTAACTCTTGATAGCTTTTAATACTTATGAATATTTTAGGTGGACAAAAAGGCGAACTAAGAGGTGGACGCCTGAGCTTTTCCACATTTATATCGCTGTGAAGCAACTGTAAACTCTAGAGGGAATTTATATCTGTAACTGTAACCAGTTCGATTTTGTTTGCAAACCTGGTTAAATTGTCATATTTAATTATCTTAAAGATACATCGTCCAGCTCAAACCTTTGTAGAGGTAAAAGGTGGGACCATCATTATCAATCGTTTCTTTACATGATCTAGAGAACTGTTTTACGTAAAGAACTCCGGTTTGATAGCCTCAAAACCTTTCCTACAATCGAATGGTATCCCAAGCAGCCAATGATAACTGTATGTCTAGTTTATGCTTCGTGACTAACTTTCAGTCTCAAGAAAAACAAACAGAAAACAATAATTCAACATGACAAAAATAGTAAAACTTCACATGTCCTTTATTAAAGGTCAATCGCTTGTATGTCCTTTCAATGACGGCATTTACCTCACAGTATGAGCCCAAATTAAATCGTTTAAAAATTCTAAAATCCCTGGCTTAACCTTCTTATCGTTGGGCACAATTTCTTTACCATCTACCGAATACTTACTTGAATGTAACCGCCGGCGTTAGGATGTCGTCGAACTAATTATAGATTTATTTATTTTTTCTCCGCTGACACGATATAAGCACAATGCACTGGCTAACTAGTACTGGGTGGCTGACCAGCAGCAGTACCACAAAATATTGCAAAAAATAAAACAACCGCAGAAAACTAATAACAAAACGCAAAATTACTTTCACAACACACTCACTCGGTTCTGTTTTTTTGTCGATTCCACTCTGACCGACTGGCAGAGCAAGCAATTTCGCACTGGTTGATCGAAATTATCACGAAACACTTTTTCTTTCCTCTGTCAATATTTGCGATCTTCGTCTCAAACGATCAATGTCAGAAAATAAAAACTTCAAATTGCGGCTTAGGTAGTTTTGCAAATCGTACAAAGTGCGCTCACAGTCACCATACTGCGTCACGAAGAACACCGCTTGACCACCTTCACCCATATATCCATGCCAAAACTGATGATGTGCCAAATTCTGGAAGCTGTTTACACTGACTGGTTTCTTAATACTGAACAGCACATATCATTCACGATGGTCGTTTGATGATCCGAAGGCTTTGGAGGGTTCGTTTCGGTCGCACGGCTTAACGAATACTGAGCGTGATCGCCAACTCGCGAATAAAGTTATACAACTGGGTTCGTCCTGGGCTGGGAAGCTTGACGCGTATGGTGAGAGAATAAGCAGTAGAGGAGAAGCCCAGCATAGAGACTGACCGGCACTAGTACTAGCAGCAGGTTGTTGACGCGGCATTAAGAAGCCGGTGCCGCGAGCTAGTGGAGGGACTTGGCTGTATATATTGAGTGTATCGACAGCGACTCTCAGTTTCAGCTACACGAGCGTGGTTCGTGCGATAAGTAGCCGGGTATGCATGTAGTATGTTAAGGGATGAGCTAGTAACGATTTGCCTTGCGGGATTGTAATATTTATTTATTTTATTCGCTATCGTTGTGACGTGGGCACGTCATACTAGGTCATGTTTTAGGGGGTGGGTCGCGAAAGATCGCACTCGAGAGGGAGTGAATGTTAACTGGTTGTTCAATTGATGAGTGAGTATTTCGATCTTTGGGAAATTTTGTGCGTTCGATTTGCTGGATTGGTTAGCGATTTTATTTTTCTTGACTTGTGAATTGCTAGAGCCCGGAATATGTATTGTCGTGTCGTTTAGCACATCAAATGTCTTCGTTTTGTGGTAGGATGATGAATATTGTGAAGAATTAAATTAAAACAAAAAACATGATTATAGGGTGTTCCAGGAATAATAAACATACCTGTGACTTGTGTATGTGCAAAATAATGTTAAGACTGATGGAGGTTTAGATGTCGTGCAAATTGTATGGAAGTATTTTAAAAGGCAACTTATCATCACTAGATTTGCTGCAGCTTCTTCTTTTTCTTGTATTCCTAAATCATCACTTTCTAAAAGTATTGGTAAAATTCATTGGTAGCGTGCGTCATCGTACTAAAACCGTAAATACATCATAAATGTCAACTGGTATGGTCAGCAAAATCTTACCATCTCTTTCATTTCTTTACTTTTCAATACAACACCAAATGTGACGACACATTATCTAGTGCATAAGAATGTCGTAGACAACAAATCCACATTGCCAGACGGTGTTGAATGCAATTTTGTTTAAACCCCTTGAGAAGAAAAGCGAATGACAAAAATCGAACTCCCCTATTTGTGTTTAATTCAAGCTTGTTTCACCTTTTTGATTTCAATGTTTAAGTTAAAAAAAAAGTCCTTTTAGTTTTATTAATTCAGTGTTTTTATATTAAATTTATCTACTCATCAACGTTCCTCCACTCTTTGCCAAAAACCCAGCTTATAAAAAGCATTTAACTGTACCAGAACTGAAAATTCAACGAGAAGATCCTATAACCAAAATTCAGGAACCAGAAAATAGTTAATTTTATACAGGATAGTGATAATAATTCTCTGCTGTTACCAATTGTAGATGAAAACGATACTTTGCAATTGATATTTTATAAAACCAGCCACTTAGGACTTCATCGCAATAATGTTCATAACTAACCAGTAACGCTGGATGATCCCCTTTTTGTGGTGCGTTGCTGGTATAAGATCTACAGGGGTTACTCAAAATAACTAGGATAGGCAAATTTTTGTTCAACTTTGGAGTGTTGTAACTTCGTCAAATATGATCCGATTTTAAATTATTCAAGAGCATTTGGCTGGAAAACTAATATTGTTCTACGATGTAGCCACGAAAATAATCCTGGTCACCGGATACCGGAGATATTCCGGGTTTCCGGTGGGCTTGTCTAACTTGCTAAATTTTTGGCGATATTTTATATATGATGCTGTTTAAATATATATATTTTTAGTAAATACAACGAAAGAAGAACCATTTCTCAAGCAAACCATATGCCAAGAACTAAAATCGGGCTATAATAACTCGAGAAATGGCTATTTCCCTGGAATCGGTTCTGGTGGAGGGTTCTGAATGCGGGCAGATCATTTAATCACTCCAAACATGCCGTGCGACAGCTCTTTCTTCATGGTTTCTCGTCAATAGACTTTAGATAAACTTTAAATGCATCATTAACCACATTGGCCACTCTCGGAACATCCAGTATGCCCCCGGGGGAACCTGGAGCAGGAGACAATTGCATTTTTACACCAAAAAATGCCGTGCGACAGCTCATTCTTCATGGTTTTTCAAGAATAGGCATTAATTAAACTTCAAATGGATCAGTGACCACATTGGCCGCTCTCGGAACCACTGGATACCCCTGGGGGAACCTGTAGCAGGGGACAATTGCGTTTTTACTCAAAAATATGCCGTGCGACAGCTCTTTCTTCATGGATTTTCATGAATATGCTTTCTATAGACTTAAAGTGGATCATTGACCACACAGTTGATTTCATTCTGGAATTCTTCTGTGCCGCTAGAATTACTTATTTCCATGAAGAGCTTCATGTCGTATAAGAACTTTTATTTTTTAAGTATGTAAGAAATGTCGTTTACGTACAAAATAAAAAGAATTGGGCCTAAATGAGAACCCTGAGGTGACCGAAATAGGCTCTGAAAGTTTATTCTGAAAACGAACTATTTGTTTGCGTTGCGTTAAGTATGATTGGAGCCAACTCAGAAGTCTAGATTCCATTCCTATTTTTGCAATTTAAAGAGTAATAATGGTATGTCGATTCGGTCAAAGTCAGTATAAAGAGCTTCCACGTGCTTGCCATTGTCCATTGCGTTACGAATGAAGGTTACAAATTCAAGAAGATTAGAGGTACGACCTTTAAAAAAACCGTTCTGTTTGTTTGTAATTTGATCGTTTAAGATTGATTCAAAAAGTTTTGGGATGCAAGAGTTAATGGCAACTTCACGATAATTACGGATGTCAGATTTCTTGCCTGATTTGAAAATAGGCACCACATGAGACGATTTCCAATTTTCAGGGAATTTCCCATTTTTCAGAGACATGTTGAAAAGGCGATCTAAAGGAAGGGTGAGTTGTTCTGGAATATTCTTCAATAATACAGGTGCAATTGATCCTTTAGATGCGTCCAATTTTTTTAGTGCATCGAGCACTTCATGTTGACATATTTGATTTTATTATTTATTATTATTATTATTATTAATTTATTTGATAAGGCTCAACCGAATTATCTTTACAGAGCCGAGGATTCTTGTTCACTATACAATACATCTTAAAACTATAGTCAAAAGGTACAACACAATAAACATTTTATCTTCCGCTATGCAATTAGCCTCATCTACCAGAACGGGAGCCGCTTCCAGTGGTTTACTTGTATGGCAGATTCGCCAACGAGGGTCACATATTTGATTGACAGATATGTTGTTAGAGACTTCGGGAATGAATGCAAAGAAGTCGCGGTCGCGGTCTTTTTCAGAAAATGTGGTGTATACTTCCTGAAAGAAATTTGCAAAGAGCTTGCACATTTCAGAAGAATTTTCACCTACATAAAAATGCATTCGCGACGGAAAATTATTACTTTTCAATTTCGTTTTTACATAATTGAAAACAGTTCTTAGGACATGATTTGACTTCATTTTCGACTTTGCGATTATATTCTTCATGTGCAGTGCATATTAATGGCTGTGCTGAGTTGGTTCACATAACATATATGGAACTGCATGCAAAATAACTTTCTAAAAGTTGACCCCTTTTTTGTGTTGCATCAGTGCCCAGTGGTATAACTGGTATAGTTGGTCATCGATCTGTCAAAACAAAATTGTCGTGATATCGACACTGTACGTTCATTAGGACCAATGTCGAAAACGTAAACAATGGCTTTTTTCGTATATTTCTTGTAGTTCAAAGTCATTTCATGTAAGCCATCAATTCCATCGGATAGGGGGAGTCTCCCCCTACACAGTTTACGTGCAATTGACTTGAGTGGTTTTTCATTCAAGAGAAATTCACAGAAAAAGTTTATGTTTGCGACATAAGCTCTTATGAAAGAAAAGCAGATATATTGTTGCATGCTCAGTAAGCATTGACGTTGACGACGACCCTGCAACTCTTTACTCATATGGTAAAATCTTATAAGCATCTGAAAATATGTGCATGAAATCTAGCGGACTTTGTCTTATCTCTTCACTTCACCATAGAACCAGCGAGCCACCATCTCTTCACAAAAAGCTTGATAGTATCTTATGCGATTTTCGTAGGAGTGAAAAGGTAAGGAAATTTCCACCAGGTTTCACGCACAGACTGACGGTTGCTGATGGGATTTTACCATAAGAGTAAAGAGATATAGCAACAATCAATACGAAACTAACGATTTTAAATTGGTTCACTACTTGACTAGCCTATTGGTCCCAAGCAAATTGATTAACGTTCTCCATTCCAGTCAAAATTCTAGTACTACACAATGTTTGTTTTGATTCGCTATGTAATTTCGACAGATAAAATGAAGGGTTATTGGATTTTCCTATGTTTCGAGGGGTGAATCGATTAGCTTGGGACCGAAGATAGTACCAGAGCTGAGCCAAAAAGTTGAGCACGTTTCTTCGGGACCTACTAGTCTTAGAGTTACCTCTATGGATATAGAGTGAAGGTGAATTGTAAATTATCAGGGTAATGCGTGATGTCAATCATACAAGGTTTGGCCCAACTGACTTATTGATATTACACAGTTGAATGTGGAATGTGGAGTTCGTATTTCACCTAAGAGTGTTTATCTTTTTACACAAAACAGCTGTTGCCTGTGATGTCACGTCTGCTGTTCGCAGTATGGAATGTTGTGCTGACGAAAGCCCCTTTTTAGCATTCTTTCTAAATGTGTTTCGCTACAAAGTTAGAACATATGTTTTGGCAGAAATCTACGCAAATAAAGCCATTAAAATTTATTTCAAATTTGGCCCTAAGGCCAAAAACTGGACCACTAGTGCCAATACTGGTACACTTATCCTATGTAAAATAGATTCAAATGATTACTTTCGTTTGTATATAGTACTTATTGTTGCTAGAAAATATAGCCGTTCCTTTTTTTAAATCTTTATTTGAAAGATTTTTAGCCGAAGGCTAGTTCATCTCTAATAGCAGTTTACGTTAACTTTGAGACAGATACCTGGAA